ATTAACTTTCCTGCCTTCCTGCCGATCCCTTGTTCTGATTTCTTGAGGATCGGGAATCTTCATTATTCCAATTGAGCAAAGCCACGATTTTGGTGTAACCCATGGCAACTGGGGCCAAATTGTTGGATATTGACCTAAGCCAGAAGCCGATATTAGTGGAATGGGAAATGACAACTCAAGCAATTTCTTCAATCCTTCATCATCTTCAACGCCTCAATTTAATGTATGTACCCTGCGACAATTTCAAGATTAAATATTTCTAGATAGTTTAGAGAAATTACATGTGTTAATTGTGCTAGTTCCTATTTTTTCTCTTGATTATTTTTAAATTTTACTTTTTAGGTTTAATGCTCATTAGTCGTTCTTATTACTTTTATAAATGAAGAAACTCTCTCAGAGGATATAGTTGCTGAGGTTGGGTTTATGCCTGTGGCATTTTATGACAGTATTAAGAGGAGCTGTTGAAGAAATAGAAAAGAGAATGGTTATGAAAGTCAAGTTTATTTTTTTCTTAAAAATACATATTACCAACTGATATATGAAAGTCAAGTTCATCATTTTTTTTTTTTCTGAAAGTACATATTATCAACTGATACATAGAAGCCAAGTTCATAATTTCCATGAAAATGCATATTGAAGACCAACTGATATTCCACACTAAATAAAAGTGAAGCAAAGGCGCAATTTAGCATCTAAACCTAAATATTGTTTTGTGTTTGTCAATTGCAATAAACCTTTTGTCAATGAAATGGTATTTTCAATGCATAATTTGACGAAACCTCCAATGAATACACGTGAAATTTCCTCCCCCAATTTCCTTTGGTTGTTGAAGACTTTTAGCGACTGGCTAATGTCGTATCCAATACCCTGATGCCCTCAATTAATGACTTACAGATAGATATTCAGCTGACCGTGATTACCAATTAACAAGGCAAACGGACCCATGTTTGCGAACTTAACGTATGTATCCTGCTACAATTTTAAGATTAAAAATTTCTTGCTCTTAATTATTTCAAGTGTGCAGAATTATGATTTATATGTGTTAATTGTTCCAGTTCCTATTTTTGCTCTTCTTCCTATGATTATTTTTTTAATTTTATTTTTTAAGTCTAATGCTCGATTGTTGTTTTTGTTATTCTTATAAATGAAGAAACTCTTTCAGTGAATTCAGAGGATATAATTGCTAGGGTTAGGTTAAGATTTACCGCAGGCTTTTGATATGACATTGTGATGGTATTAGAAGAAGCTGTTGAGGAAGTAGAAAAGAGAATGGTTGTGGAAATTAAGTTCATAATTTCCCTGAAAACACATATTACCAACTGATATATGGAAGTTCATAATTTCCATGAAAATACATATTGGAGACCAACTCATATTCCAAGCTAAATAGAAGTGAAGCAAAGGCGTAAATTAGGCCAAAGTTCCATAGGTTAATGCTCAGTCATCAACAGTTGCACATTTAACTGTCTCCCCTTAAAACTCATTTAAGGTCAGATTCTCTAGATTAGAATTGTTTTGTGTCTGACAACAATAGTCGTCCTTTGTAAATGAAATGGTATTTTCGGTGCAGAAATTTGATGGAACCTCTGATGGATACGGGCGAAATTTCCTCCCCCAATCACCTTTGATTGTTACCTAATCCAGCTAACTTTCTGGCATATCCTGCTGACATCTAACCTACCTTGTTCTTGTTACTTGAGGACCAGCAACGTCATGGGTCCGATTGTGCAATGCCGCGCAATTTCGATGCAGCTCTCGTTACGCGGTTGTCCGCGGCGGATTTCTGTTCTTCGACCGGTGTAACCCAAGGCTATGGGACATTGACCTAAGCAACAAATCGATCTTTGATCTTTACTCATCTTCACAACCTCAATTTTAATGTATGTAGCCTGATATAATTTCAAGATTAAATTTTTCTTGTTCTTATTTCAAGTTTTACATGCGTTAGCTACACCCTCATCTTCCTTTCACATTCTTCATTTATTATTTATTATTTTTAATTTCTTTTTACTGTTCTTCTGCCCGTGCAATACACCGCACTTTGACCGTATCATTGAACATGGACCTAAGCGACTATTCGTTATCGGTGGAATGGAAAATTACAACTCAAGCAACTTCTTTGATGCTGGCTAATAAAAAAAGGCAACTTCTTCGAATTTTCATCCGCAGATCTCAATCTAACATATGTAACCTCCTACACTTTCAAGATTAAAATTTTCTTTCCTTTTCTTTCTGTTAAAGAAGAAGTAGAAAAAAGAATGGAAGTCAACTTTATAATTTCCCTGAAAATAAATATGGAAGACTGACTGATTATATAGTCAAAATTCCAAGCTAAAATGCTGAAAGGTTTTTAAAGAAAGGTGAAGCAGACGCATAACTTAGGAAAAGTTTCATTAACATTTTCGCATTCAACGAAGTGGCTCCTCTCGAACTCATTCTATGGGTAGTTTTCATCAATTACATTTCCACATTGTTTTCAGTCTGTCGAGTGGAGTAAAGCATTTTGAATGGGTTGGTATTTTCAACGCAGAAATTTGATTGAACCAATGGTGCTTTCCCTCCGGTTGGACGGTTTCACATGTTATAGTCCATTCAGCCTTCTCTGTGTGTGTTTTTGGTTGACAGAAGCTTTATTCTGTGAAAATTGCGTTAATTAGCAATAGGTGGAATGACTTTCATTGTATTTAACATGCCCACATAAGCCCGCTATAAATGTCGGATCCTGTCACGTGAGTTAACATGCCTCCTTAAATGTAGGCCTGGTACCTCCAACTTCATATCTGTCAAGTGAGCTAACAGGCTTCTTAATTAAAATAGAATCTGAACTCTTATACCATGTGAAAATTGTGCATGCAACACAAAACTTGCATCCAACTTAAAATCAATTGACAAGCATTCTTTGTATTTAACCTACAAGTTTCTTATTTTTATATTCAATATGAGATTTTCCCACTTAACATATTACAGCATAGCCGTCGAAATATCAATGACTTCTATATAATACTTGGCTGATCACGACTATAAATTAACGAGGGAACGGGCCTATGTTTCAGAACTTAAGAAGTTGTAGCCAATATATCATTTTCTTCAATCTCAAAAACTCACAGTTTGTCTGGTTTCTATTGACATTGTTGTGAGCAATGAGAATTTCACTCTTTTCTTGGCTTTTCATGTTTCTCCTTGCAACAATTTTCTTTGGGATCAATGTCGTTTTAGTTTCTAGTC